ATGAACTCGAAACGGCGAGAAAATTGGACAAGACAGATTTAACAGATTTAGAGAAAAAAAAATTAATGGAATAGAAATTACTTATTTGAATTAAAAATCGGTTTTAATTGATTGTAAAAATATGAGTTTATTAATAAAATATTAACAAAAAAAAGTTTTTACAATAAACTAGTGAGTATACAAAGATGGATTAGTTTACAATAATATTTTGTAGATCTACAATATATTTCACACTTATAACTTTAATAAGAATCGTAAATTTTACATAGAAACAATTCAAACAAACTCATGGACACAAATATCGAATATTTTGGAATTTTGCAATTTTTTTTGTAGTCACTAATATTTTAAAATAATTTTATGTAGATTACTGATGATACTCATATCACAGAATAATCTCATATAGTAGGCCAGTGGCGCACCCAGGGGGGTTTTGAAGGTTAAACCCCCCTCCCCCCAGGGCACTATTCCGGCACTGTTACTTACACATTTTAAGCAATTAAAATGGTGGAGGTAGCATAAAAAAATTTCGGTGCCCAACCAAAAACCCCCTAACAGAAAAATCCTAGGTGCGTCACTGTAGTAGGTTGATGCATGATACTATAATAAGAAGATAAGATTCAGTCGTGACGTCATTGGAGAGTTGCACGTTCGAAATGTCAGTTTTTTGTATGTCTGAATAAATAATCTTTAATAAATAGTTTGGAGATATTCTGATGAGTACGATTATTGTAATTATTGAACCTCTTAACTTATTTTCGTCTAGTAATTTCATCACAGAATGCATACAAATCCCATTAACTTTAACAAGAATTCAAATTCTCTCTCCAATGACGGCATGCGCGAACACGATCGATTTTGTGCTGTGGGAAGATCCTATCTTGTTAGTCATAGTATCATGGGTTGATGTCATCGAGTTAGAATATGTGGAGAAGCTATGAGCATATTAACGTATGTATTAAAAACGGCGTAGGTAGGCGAGGCTAACGATAATACCAATATGGTGGTGACATCAGGGCCAGACTCAATAATATTAAAACTGCTATACAAATATGACTAGTTATTCAGTAGATTTAATCATAATCTAAAAAAGTGCAATACATTTTTAATAAACTATGATTTATTTATCCCGCGGTAAACACTAAAAACACGATATATTATACATAAAGATAAATTAATACAGTCAAATACTATTAATTTATTCTCTAAAGTACGGGCCATTACTTTGTTTACATATTTGTATACTAACCTGTAGAACGATATTCCTGAAGATTTTTTATTAACATTGCTTCTGCTACTGCAACAACGTTGAGAACAAGAAACCATTATTATGCACTATCACAATATATTATAGTTTCTATAAAAGTATTATAAAATTTAAAATATTCGAAAAACAACAAATGTAAACAAACATATACGATCTGTCAAAAGTTTTAAAACAATATTAACAATATGGCCGAAGTGAGGTCGTTTTTAGTCACGTGATGCCCTCTCCATAGATTCTAACTCGATGGTTGATGTACTCAACTGGTTTGAAATAAATATTTTGATATTTGTTCAGCGTTTAGTGTCATTCGTCAAGGTCGTAGTATCAAGAAAAAATCATACTAATTCGGTTATTTTTAGTTTAAGTTAAATTAAATATGGTTTTGATTTCAAAACAAGTATGCCACCAATTCCACCCTGCGATGAAGCCTAAGCAGCACAGATTTTAATTTTGTACGAAGATAGATGTACACACAAAGATATTGCAAATTCAATGTACAGTTTCGAATACTTACGCCAAAGGTGCACAACTGCAATTAATGACCGTTTTTTGGTTATTAATTCTACAGGAAATCGTTCATTGACATCGATGCACCTCATAAGTGAGCTAATAAATGTTTAATGTTAGACAAGTTAATGTGAGTTCAGAAACATTTAGACGAAGATTAAAAGATGCAAACTTAAAGCCCAGATACATGCCTAGATACATGCCCAGATGAACACATGTTCAGTGGAATATCGACATCTGGAAAAATGCTCTTTTCACTGATGAGATCAGAATCCCATTATGGAAGCCAGATGGTGGAAACCACATCTACAGAAGAGTTAAGAACGATTTGTCACCTGCATTTTCGCCCAGACCGTTAGTTGGGAGGTAGGCACCACACTTGTGGAAGTGATTGGACGGATGACTGGTGACAGTTACGTTCAAAACATCCTGCAAGATTATGTTGTACCATATGTTGGTTAAATTGGATATGCCAGATTTATGTTAATGCACGATAATGCTCAACCAGATACCGCTGCCACAATGAGTAATTATCTTGATGAGGTCCAAATTCGAAGATTGGATTGGGCACCGTTTAGCCCGGATTACAGCACATGTGGAATCAGCTGAAACGCAGCATACGACAAAAAATCCCGTTTAAATACGATAGAGCAGCTTTGTCTTGCTGCATAGGATGAATGGAATGCAATTGCCCAAGGATATGTCTAAAATTTACTTGTAAGCATGCCGAGAATGATGCAAGCAGTAATAAGAGCTAGAGAGGGGAATACTCGTTACTGATCATGTGCTCCTTTCCTTCATACGCACAAGCCGAATTTTGCTGAGAATGTCTATTTTGGGACCCTAAAAAATATACAAAAATGTTTACCTCTAGTACTCCCGGTTTTTTTTCTAAAACCCCCTTCGTAGGGAGGGAAAAAATCAATTTACTAAGAATCTGTAAAATGAGAAAGATGTAGCATAGATAATTCTGAACAAAAATGTTTATTATCACTTCATGTTTACTATCAATTTCATCATCATTCTGGCTATACAATCCTGCGTGGATGATAGCCTCCTCAGGAATTTCTCTCCAGTCGCCTCTATCCATTTCCTTCCTCCGCCAAGCACGTATTCCCATATTGCTCATGTCTTTATCGATGTTATCAAGGAATCTTGTTCTGACCTGTTCCACCTCAGACGTTATATCTTTTTTTTTTTCGATATCTGGCTCCTGATATATTCAATAAAGTTCAAAATTCTATCGTCTTCTCCACACTTCATTGCCATTCACTGCTCCATAGATTCGCCTTAGTACTTATATTTTGAAACATCTTAACATGTTTTCATTACTTTTTGTAAGAGTCCAGGTCTCTGAACCATATGTTACTGGATTATTTACCATATGGACTGGGCGTAATATTGTTTTGTACAATTTTAATTTTGTAATTCTCGATATAGTTTATCTCTGAGGTTTACTGCTTCGATGACGTCCTTTTATACAAGTGGTTGTAGGATTTGTGGTTGCGTGCTTATTTTCAAAGTACTTTGTTTTGTTGGTGTTTATTATTATACCCATTTTTGTAGCTGATTCTATTAATACTATATATGCCTCTCGTACATCGTTTTCCGTTCTACCAACAATATTGATATAATCAGCATAGGCAATTATTTGCACTGATTTATTATATATTGAACCAATGATTGTGATTTTTTGACATACGTATTACTTTTTCCAGGGCCAAATTATTTGTCAGATAGTTCCCCCTGATTTCGTACTCTAGATTAAACTTTTTCAAGAGTTAGTTCTGTTAAATTTACCAACTGATTTGGTACTCCTAGCTCTTTCATTGCTTTGAACATTTCTCTTGAATTCACAGAGTCGTAGGCTGCTTTGTAGTCTATAAATAAGTGATGAGTATTAATGCCATATTCCAGTGTTTTTTCTAAAATTTGTTTTAGGGTTGCGCTCTGATGAATTGTCGATTTACCACCTCTGAAACTAGCCTGCTATTTTCCTACTATCCGTTCTGCGTATGGTGCCATACAGTGATATAGTACAGTGGACAATATGTTTTTAGCTGCATTTAGAAGCGTACTGTCTCTGTGGTTATATCATTCAAAGATATCTCCTTTTTTGTGAATGGTGCAAAGGATTCCAATATTAGGCATCTTGTAGGCTTCATTGTTTTCTTTTGTTGCATTCTTGCATTGATCGTCAAACCAATGATTTTTTTATTGCAAATTGCTGCCAGATAGTGCCCAGGGGCTCTAAAAGATGATTAGATCTAACAGAATGTCATTAAACCGTTAGAGGCATTTCAAATGTGGCGCTACCGGCGTATGTTAATATATACACCACATAACTAATATAACTTTTCTGCGGCTAAGAATAGACAAAGAAATTATTAATACAAGAGAGGCCCTGAACGCAGACTTACCTATATCCTGGATGGCCAATCTTAGGAAGTGGATTGGTCTAACGTGAACTAATCTATTTCGACCTGCTGTGAATAGAATAAGATGGGCCAATGCAGTCGCCGAGATCACTAGAAGATAGGCACTTGTAGAAGAAGAATAACCATTGTATTTATAGTGTGACGTTTGTATTAAACAATTTGATAGTTCTCTCAGTAACGCCAATCAAATCTACTCTGATTGAATTTTTATGTGTAGTATGAAGAAGTAAAAGAACGTGGAATAACAGTGTCGCGTGTTGCAATTATAGTAAACCACCTTATCACTGTAACTCCATTGAGCATAATATCTGGGCTCAGATAAAACTTGCCTATTTGTATTTTATGTGGTATCATATTATTGGAAGGTTTTCAGAGTGGACATATTATTATTATAAATTCTTGTACAAAATTATGACAAAATAATCTTCTCTGCTATAAAACCTGTACTATTATGCATTTCCAAATCGAGTATAAATTCCTAATACATATTTTTTGCGTGCAATAAGTTATAGCAAAAATTTTTCATACTAGATGTGTACATACAAGTTAGCTTCAATAGAAGAAATTATCGATGCTACCGGAAAACCTCAATTGCGGTGCATTTTTCGGAATTCTAAGGACTTTTCCGCCGCCCATGACGCGTCTCTCAATGACAAGGTCATGGTTTCCTGTGCCAACTATAACAACCTTGGAGATTTTGCGCCTGCTATTACGATAGTGTTTTGATCGATCAGGATCTAAAAAACGAATGGGGAATTTCTCCGCGGGTCCTCGCTGTCCGCGGCTTTGCTTTGGACGATACCACGAAACGCGATTCACACTTATCGGCACGTGGTGTTGTGAGGTGAGTGTGACAGTGTGAGTAGTTTATTTGGGGTCGCGCGACAGTGGTCGAAAGTCGGGAATGACGTGAGTGCGAGCAACTACTTCCCGATTTTTAGAGTTTTCCTTTTTTGAAATAGTTGTGACATATTTAGAATACTACAGCGTTGTGGAGATTTGCTGCAATTATTTTTAGTAAGTACATTGTAATCAATATTAATAAAACAAAAATCCTTTTCTGTTTTATAAAATATTAACACTTGTTACGTAGGTAGGCAAATTTGACAATTTTTTTTAAAATTTTATTTAGCTTTGAAGAATTGGTATTGATCTCTATCAAAAATATAAGTTAATCAATCTCAAAGGTTTGTTTCTTTTAGTCTTAGTTTAAATAAATATACATTTACATACATAGTACCTATATTATACTATATTATAATCCAGGTAAATATGCTATAGTTTCTTCGTAATCGAAACGCAGTAATAAATCAAAATTTTATGCAAATTTAAAGAACGAGCGGCTATAACAAAATAAACTAGGGGGCATAGGTAAGTGGTAAGTAATATTGCAAATTAAACTCGAAAGTAAGCATGGTTTTGAGTTGTTTATAATTATTAAAATAAACAATAAAAACATTTAAAACTCATTTCATAATGTGAATTTTTATGTAGTTACTACATTTGCGAAAGATGGGCACAATCGGTGAAGTATTTTTTAAACAACTATATTTGTTTATCCCATTTGAGAGAACAACGGTCATTTCTAAATGGCTGTACAGTGTACAGGTACTTTATCAATACTCGAAATGTTTTTTTGGTCTGATTCTCTTTATAAGATATCAAATTTTATATTTTTTAAAAACTATAATAATTTTTATTGTTTACTTACAAATAATTGATGTAGAATGAACTAAAAAAAACTATACCATTATCATCATATTGGCAATATCCTTAACTTATGCCGCTAGAATCTGCCGCTAAAAATGTTACGAATTTTAAGACTTTTACCTGTGCTATCGGTATTGTCGAAATATAACAATAGTTGACCCTTATGAACAATAGCCTATTCTGATTTTAGTTCCTTTTAAGACTCTGGCGGGTGTACTTTTGGGAAAATTCTGGTGTGTTAGAAAATTATAAATTTTTTAAACTTTAAATTTAAACAAATTCATTTATCACAATTTATATTTAGTATACATAAAATACTTGTTGGCTATTTTTATTTTTACGCACAACAAGCCGTTAAGGCCTAGGGCATTTTTTACAACATAATCCTAATATTAACTAAGTACAATTATTTTAAACAAAACTTGAATTTAAGTATGTATATATAACATTCTTAACTACTCTGAAGGACCTGGTGTACAATATTTCTCCATTCGCTTCTATTTTGTGCTTTTATTTTCCAGTACCTCACCTTCACGCGTTTAAGGTCATCCTCCTCTTTACTAATTCACCTCGTTCTGGGTCTACCTCTTCTTTTGGGACCGTGGGGACCGATTAATTTTCTGGTTATTACTAGTTTGGGCATTCTGTTTGCTGCCGTTCTTTCCACATGTCGCAACCATCTGATTATTTGTGCCTTGACGAACTTGGTAATGGTAGGTTCTTTGTATAAAGCCATTAATTCATTGTTGGTTTTTCTCTCCCAATCTTCTTCTGTCTTCCGTCCTCCGAATATGCGTCTCAAAATTTTCCTTTCCCATCTTTCCAGATTATCCTCTTCCTTCTTATTTAATGTCCATGTCTCACCGCCATATGTTACTGTGGGTCGAATTACTGTTTTATATATTCTGAGTTTACCTTGTCTAGAAACGTATTTTGAGTTCAGTAGGGCTCTTAAACTACCTAATTTTTTATTCCGTTTTGCTATTCTGGCTTTGAGCTCCCATTTCTCTTTTCCATTTTCATCGAAAACTACATCCAGGTATTCAAATTTGTCCACCCTTTTAAAACTATAGCTTTTACCACTTACTGACGTCACACTAAAGTCTTCTTTTTTCCCTTCTGTCCCTCCCATCATATATTTGGTTTTGTCTTCATTTAGTTCCAATCCGAATTTCTGTGCTTCTTCGATGATTTTCTTCACAACTTGACAACACTAACATACTTGTTGGCTATTATAAACTTTATTTTATTATTATTACCCAGATTTTGCCATACGGCTCACACTCATCACATACACAACACACACACACTCACACACACACACACACACACACACACACACACACACACACACACACGCACACACACACAAGGGGAAATTCACCCATTCCAGATACCTACGGTATCAAAAGGATTGAGCTCTGGTGGGGCTCTTTCCGTGTTATCGAGCTCTAGGCGACTTGGTATGTGCCCTAGGTTCTTCGGAATGACTCCAGTAGTAGAAAGAATAGTAGGTATCATCTGGATACTTTTCATTCTCCATTGTCTCCCTAACCTAACCTAACCTATTTGTATTTCCAGATCTTTGTACATGGCGATCTTTACGTTGTATTAAACACGCAGATTATTATTGTTAGATATAGCCACGACAATTAGTGTTGTTTGACTCGTTAGTTTCTTCTTCTTCTTTGAGTACCGTGCCCAAGTTTTAGGCGTGGGTAGCTTCCATGACGATTTGCCGATATCGTTCTCGATCTTGCGCGGCATGTAATAATTCATCTGCTGATAAGCCAGTCCATTGACGAAGGTTTCGGAGCCATGAGTCTTTCTTTCTGCCAATTCCGCTTCTTCCGTCGATCTTTCCGTTGAGTATCAACTGCATTATCCTGTATCTGCTTCCTCTCATTATATGCCCCAGATATTCGAGTTTTCTCTTTTTTATCATGTTTATTAAGTCACCTTCACCTTGACCTACTCTGTTCAAGACTTCACTGTTTAAAATGTGTTGAACCTATGATATTCTGAGCATTCTACGATATAACCACATCTCGAAGGCTTCTAATTTGTTCATCATGTTAACTTTCATAATCCAGGTTTCACATCCATACAGTAATATAGGATACACATAACATTTTAGGAACAATAAAAACTTGCTCTCTTTCGGGTTCTTGTAACAATTTTTTGTTTAGAAATATTTTTTAATTTAGAAAATCTCATTTTTAAGGAGCAAGTAATTTCAAAAAAGTCGTCTGTTGAACGTTTTTATTTAGAGTGTGTAGTTTTTTCACAATATTAAAATGAATGAAAAAGTCGCCTTTTTTATTTAATATAATCATCACGCAGTAAAAGTTTCAATAACAACGAGATGATACGCCTTTCTATTGACTTCCCCCAGATATTCCCAGTTAAAAAATAGCGTTCAATAATTTTTCGATTTTTCAAGTGATTTTTCGGCTTCGTTTCATGGGGTAATAAACTATAAACAACTTTAATTTAATTATGTATTTCGTTGAATAAAAAAAAACAAAAAACTATAGTGTTAATTGTACAATTAATACAAACAATATACACAAATTAACGCACTGCGTGCAATTGTTGATTTAGCTAATTTTGATGGATTTCAATCCATCAAATCATGACTTTTTGTTAGAAATTTACTTCGGAACATTGACACATGGTGTGAATGGTAAAATAACACGGTATATTTGTGGTTGGAATTTTCGAATAATCTCTATATTGGAATCTGACGTTGTTTCCCATAATACTATCTCATAATATAGGTTTTTACACCATACGTATACCAATTACTCCAGTAAATAATCTTTTTGGAGTGTAATTTTCCTCATCACGACGGATTTGCATAAAAATTTGGATTTAGGTTCCTCTTACCCTCTACTTCACTTTTGGACTTCAGCTGAGGGTTGCCAAGGGAAAAAAAATACGTTCAAAATAGGTCCGGAAATAGATAAATTGACTATAGTGTATTTTTATGTATGAGAGAGTAATAAAACAATAAATTATGTATGCAAATCCCTAAACTGTTGATACGGGTGACTCAATGAAAAACAGATATTTGTAAACAAGTTTACAGAAGTATATAGGAAAACAATTTTAAATTGAGTATGACCACCAGGTATAAAGGTTGGAGCAGAATAGAATACAATAGTTGTGAGGGTTACTAATCCCTAAATAAGGTTGCCAGTGTCGGAGTGATGGAGGTTAACAGGTACTTATGAATTTGCAAGAAATGTAAGATGTTTATTTTATTGGTTATATATAACCAATAAAAGTTTAATAAGTATCTACCTATTTGCAAAATAAAGTTTAATTCTTTAGATAAAATAAAACGTTTTATTTTATCTGAAATGAGTGCATTCCACGAAGTAAGGGTTTCAACAATCAAACATTATTTAATTCTTTAATTCCAGGAATCTACGACAGTAATTGACTAGATAATTACCTTTTAAACTTATTCCACAGAAAATGTAATAGTGGGTTTTTCCATTTTGTAGGAAGGTCCAAGTGGCGTATTCAAAATTCTTAACAGTTCACTAAAAGTAGGTACTTCAGTTGCAAGGTGCAGTTTATTGTGTATACTAGTGTTATGGAAAATTTGGAAGTGCCGTGTAAACGCCGAAAAATTGGTCCTTTAACAGTTAATGAAAAAACATTAATATTTAATTGTTTTAAATCATTTACAGACAAACGTTTATGTGAAAGTGTTAATGAGACCGTTGAGTTAGTTAGCAGTACACTTGGTGTTGGGAAATCTACGATTTACAGAGTTATTAAAGAAGAGATATGTGGTAGTTTTCAAATGCCACGTAATGCTCCAGAGAAACCAAAATTTCAACTAGAATATCATTTTAAAGAAGGACTTCGACGGAAAGTGCATGAATTCTTCTTTAGACAAGAATTTCCAACATTGGATAAAGTTCTTGTCTCAGTTCGAGATGATAGATAAGGATTACCCAAAAATGAGTCGAAGTACGTTATGGAAACTTTTAAAAGAAATAGGCTTCCGCTGGAAAAAGAATCCCAGAAAGTCTATTTTATTAGAAAGAAGCGATATTGTCATATGGAGATGACATTTTCTAAGAACCATAAAGGAAATGAGAAACCAAAAAAGAAAAATATTTTATCTTGATGAAACATGGATCAACGAGGGTCATACACCAAATAAATTTTGGCAGGATGAAACTGTTATAAGTCAAAGGCACGCTTTTGAAAATAACTTATCTACTGGTTTAAACCCACCATCAGGAAAGGGACGCAGTATGATGCATTATGCATTAGTGACCGGTTAC